TTTAGTTAAACAGGGTGAATGAAATCCTAAACAAAGAACTTAAAAAATATCTTTATTCCATAGAATCCAGGTAGTCTTTAGCTTGTATTTTCAATGTGCTAAATCTGAAGTCGACAAACATGGATTTAAGCAGCTCATGAAGAAAGCAAATTTAAACTGAGTTGCTTTGGTGTGAATGGGGTGTAAGACATATCAAAAAAAAGTTCGGATATAACACGCGCTTTCATTAATCGAAAGAGCGTGCTCTATCAGAGTACAACTACACGGAGCTGAACTGAAGCTGTCACGCCATCTGCCAATTTGTACTATGTCCGACCAACTCCCAAACTTCTCTCTTGCTTTTCCTAAATTGGAGGTGGAACTTTGGAACAAGCGAGTCGGCAATTACCAACAGAAGAACCAAATAAAGGTTTGTAAACATGCCAAGAGCCGTATTTGACGTTATCACATCGTGAAATCATTATTTTCAACCCAAAATTGTCAAGTTTCCGCCCTCTTTCCAGTATTCATTGCCGTTAGGAAGATTGTCCCCTTTTTTACAATCGATTTTGTGCCTTGCAGATGAGCAGGAAGGTCGACTGGCCATGAAGAGGATGCTTATAAAGTGACCACCAGCATCGGCAGAAATATTGGACAAGATGGTGGCCGCGCTTGCGCATTTCGTCCATAATGGCGTCCAAATAATATAAGAAACTGTATGGAAATTTGTAAAAATTTCTAAAATATAACAATCAGGAGCTAATGGTCCCGTCTGCTCTCGATCGAAACATATTCAGTACTGATTCTGCTATTCATCAAACCTCACAGGGACTCGATAAATAAAAACCACTTACTTCCCGAGCCAGTTCTTTTGTCATTGATCATTGACCTAAGTCGCCATGCAGTTCTTCAAAATCCATCGTTCTCCATCCCAAACACTCGCCTATTACAGGAAAGTGCATCAATAAAGTCAACTGCTCTCGATCGAATTGTCATGGTACGAAACACTCTTCTTTGCAGATCGAGCCGTGATCGCGCCACAATGAATACTCTTGATATTCTATTGTTCCGGAGTTTAATACGATATACCGCTGATAATTGTT